ATAGGCGGATCTGGTAACCGAAGATGCTTCATTTACTGTGAAAACGCTACAGCATATTACTTATCATTCGACATTATGACAGCCAACATCAGATTTTTATGGAAGGACGAACTTATACAACGTATCGACATGTGTTTTTCCAATCTTGAAAATAAAATTCTAAATGAACTGACGGAAAAGGCAAAAGAAAAATGGATACCTATCTGGGATGAAAGTCAAACATTTACAAACAACGGTTTATTCGAATGATTTGGCGCGCTTGCGTTCGTCATGGATATATTGACAAACGTTATGAAATCTTGGATGCTCTTGTCGATAACATGACAATTGGTGTATGGAAATAATATGGCGCTCGTGCATTCGTTATGGGCATATTGACACATGTTACGAACAAATAAAAATTAAAGTATGAACTATCAGAGGGGAAGCATCGCAAAGCATACATAGAAAACGAACTTTTAAAATAAACAGTGCTAAAGTTATGAAAATACTATTATTGTACTAAATACTAAATGTGTACCCTGACAAATAAAATATTTTCTACTCGGTAATAAAAACTCATTAACATGTCATTATCTAATCCGTTCCACTGTAAGCTATCGTTTTGAATATCAGTCTTGTTCAAATGTTCAAAGAGTACACACAGAACGTATGTCGTCCACAGCGTTAAAACAACCTTCTCAAAATTGTTAAAACATGGCCGTCTCTAAATATATTCTTCAAAAATATAACTTCACCTAAACCGAAAAGTACAATCCAGGTAAAATTGCACGGATTTTGACTTCGAATTGTTATCAAAGGTAAAATATTTCTACCATGATAACATAAACCCGTTCTCAACCTGATATTTCGATTTGCAACGTATGCAATTAATATTCATACTTTCTCAACCCGTCATTTCCCATTAGTGACGTATTTCAATTAACATGCGCACGCATATCCCTCACACGACCGGACTGGAAACTAATTGACACGGTTCAGAGCTCCCGCTACTTCCGGGAACATACCCACAGGTTAACTACTGTTGTTCCCCTCTTAAGGCGGGTTGACTGCGCACTTTGTTGAACATGTTCGGGAGACCTCAAGTTGTTCCCCTCTTAGTGCGGGTTGATTTGGCACTTTGTCGAACATGTTCGGAAAACATCGAGTTGTTCCCCTTTAAGTGCGGGTTGACTTTGCACTTTGTCAAACATGTTCGGGAGACCTTAAGTTGTTCCCCTCTTAGTGAGGGTTGACTTGGCACTTTATCGAACATGTTCGGGAGACCTCGAGTTGTTCCCCTCTTAGTGCGGTTTGACTGGGCACTTTGTCGAACATGTTCGGAAAACATCGAGTTTTTCCCCTCTTAGTGCGGGTTGACTGGGCACTTTGTCGAACATGTTCGGGAGACCTCGAGTTGTTCCCCTCTTAGTGCGGTTTGGCTGGGCACTTTGTCGAACATGTTCGGGAGACCTCGAGTTTTTCCCCTCTTAGTGCGGATTGACTGGGCACTTTGTCGCACATGTTCGGGAGACCTCGAGTTGTTCCCCTCTTAGTGCGGGTTGACTGGGCACTTTGTTGAACTTGTTCGGGAGACCTCGAGTTGTTCCCCTCCTAGTGCAGGTTGACTGGGCACTTTGTCAAACATGTTCGGGAGACCTCGAGTTGTTCCCCTCTTTGTGCGGGTTAACTGGGCACTTTGTCGAACATGTTCGGGAGACCTCGAGTTGTTCCCCTCTTTGTGCGGGTTGACTGGGCACTTTGTCGAACATGTTCGGGAGACCTCGAGTTGTTCCCCTCTTAGGGCGTTTTGACTTGGCACTTTGTCCAACATGTTCGGGAGACCTCGAGTTGTTCCCCTCTTAGTGCGGGTTTACTGGGCACTTTGTCGAACATGTTCGGGAGACCTTGAGTTGGTCCCCTCTTAGTGCGGGTTGACTGGGCACTTTGTCGAACATGTTCGCGAGACCTCGAGTTGTTCCCGTCTTAGTGCGGGTTGACTGGGCACTTTGGCGAACATATTCGGGAGACCTCGAGTTGTTCCCCTCTTAGTGTGGGTTGACTTGGCACTTTGTCGAACATGTTCGGGAGACCTCGATTCCCTCGCCTCTTGGTAGCGATCTAAATCGCGACTTTTTTGGACATGTTCGAGAGAACTCGTTTTCCTCTCATCTTAGTCCGGGTCGAAAGCGCGACTTTTCCGAACATGTTCGAGAGACTTATAGTTGTTTGCCTCTTTTGCCGTTTATATGTTCGAGAGACATTGATATCCTCCCTCTTCTCCTGAACATGTTCTGGAGACCTCGAGTTGTTGGCTTTTTCCGCGGACATGTTAGACTGCTCCGAGGATGTTTGAGTGTCAGAAAAAAAAGAAACAAATCGTAGAACAAGGGCTTAATCTCAGCAGATTGTTGCAACAAAGCTACTCTACTGCTTACAATACCCCGTTCTTTATTTAAGTTGTCTGCAAATGATTTAGCTGTGGAAAATTTAGATTTTGATCGTTGTAGTGCTTTAGAGCATTGTCCGCTCTGTGGGCAGGTTGTGACCCAGGAGGCGCGAATGATCGCGTCTCTATTCGTGTTCGCTTAAGTCGTCCAGAGAAAAGGAATCGTTGCATTCTAGCACGGATTCTGATTTAGAGGCGTTCAATCATAATCTAACAGATGGTAGCTTCGCACCATTGTCTTTTCAGGCAAGTGCATGAGCCAATTGTCTGAATCTGCGGTTCCTCTCGTACTGAGCAGAATTACTATTGCAACAACCATTCAACAGTAAAGTAAACTAACCTGTTTCACGATGGTCTAAACCCAGCTCACGTTCCCTATTGGCGGGTGAACAATCCGACGCTTGGCAATATCTGCTTCTCAATGATAGGAAGAGCCAACATCGAAGAATCAAAAAGCAACGTCGCTATGAACGCATGGCTGCCACAAGCCAGTTATTACCCAAGACCTTATATCGTTTAGTAACTTACAGGGTATTCAAGAGAAACAAACATTAATAGACACCAACACTTTTAGTGACCTGTAACTGTGAATACTATGTATATATATATTATAACTTTTTTGAAAAATCTGACCCCCTTGTTTTTTTCCCTCAGTTAATAGCCATTTGTGAGTACTTTATTCAGACAAAAAAACTTTGGCCGGCCCTGGTTTCGTTCAGAAGTTATCGCAGTTTCAAGATCGCGATTACTAGGGATTTGTATAACGAATGAAACTTTAAACTCGATTTTCAGTTCAGATAGTTACATTCGTCCAATTCATACGAAACTTGGCACATTTAAAGAGACTTTGAATGTATGCATGTGTGCAAAGTTTCAAAATCAGACATGCCTTATTTATTGAACAAAGGACGAATACATTTCCGAATTTCACTAACTATAATATAGCGGCCATCTTGAATTCACGATCACATAGTTTCATTTGCCCGACTAATACGAAACTTTGCACACAAAAAGGGACTAAGGAGTTATGCCTGTGCACAAAGTTTCAGAATCAGAGATGCCTTATTTATTAACATTTAAAGACATAAAGGATAAGAAAAATTGGTAAAAAATGCCAAAATTTAAAGTCTAAATGTGAGCGAGCTGGTGGCACAGTGGTAAAGACGTTAGTTAGTAAGCAGTAACGTTGCAGCCTCGTACCCAGGCGCTTTAAAATATAAAACGTTGCAATCAGGTCTTATAAAGAGTTCAGCTGAAAAAACGCGAGCGCGCGGGGGTGCTTGGGCCTGGCAGAAAATTATTTCAAGATGGCGGACAATGTATTAATGGCTTATGCAAATGTAGACGAAATCAGTCATGTGTTGAATAAAATCGAAAGACCTGTTCACGAAGCAGTTTTTTTGGGAAAGATCTTATGCCCAGTAGATGAATGCATTGCCCAAAGAGCGTTTTATCACGAAAGCGGTATTGTGCATCATTTTCGTGTGAAACATAAGAAGGACTTTTTGGTGTCCGACAGGGACAAATCCATCTCCGTATGCAGACAAATTCATGAGAAGGAAACACGTGCGTGTATCCAAAAGATATTTGAACATCGAAGGACAACGGTGAGTAAAATATAATATGTTAATTATATAAAAGGTAAAATTATTGTTAAGACAATTTTTCGACAACTTCAGTATTCACAAAAATGACAAAACATGAGCGATAATATGTTTTTAGTCAAATTACAATACTTTGGCGGATGGATTCCTTAAAAAATATTATTGACCCTTAGACTTCAAATGTGTTTTAATTCTGTCTTCCTTTTAAATATCCATTATATTAATAGAATGAAACTGAATATCAAGAGGTTACTGCAACTTCTTCTGGGAAGTCCTTGACTTGCATTGTAAGTCATGAGCTTGAGGCTGTACAATTGATGTGTCTGCTTTTGCACTATGGTGGTAACTTGAAGCCATACAGCAAGGGAAACAGGCCATGTAATGTGGAAGTTGCCACAGAAAAATTAGAGGCAAAGTTCAATTGTTGGTATGTTAACCAAAAAGACCAGTCTGCTGTATCATTCCAGACAGAATGTTTCGTTGTTAAAAGAGTAAGTTTTTTTCAAAATTGATTATTGGATTATTATTATATTATATTATTGTCTTTGTGTTTTGACTACAATAGCAAACCAACCCCAAAAGTACCCAATTAAGTTAAATTATCCTAACAGTAAAAGTGCTATGATTTTATTTAGAGCAGGATTTTCAATTAGTAATAAATCATGCTATGCAAGACTTCTTTAAACAGTATTTGAATTCAGATAATGTTCGCATACTAGTTCACAAGTTAACAAGTTTTATGACTGAATAAAACCATTATCCGGACATTATTTATGTAATCCACAAACAATTAAAGTATAATATCTTCTTGTTGTTTCAAGGATCACAGATCAAATATCAATGTTGATCAATTTGATTCAAGTGAAACCCCAAAGAAACCTCATGCCAATAAAACATCCCATCAGTTTTCTGGAGACCCATTGGTTGACATCTTGCAAAACATTTTTCACCATGAGGAGTTTAGGGGAATGCAAAAGGAAGTGATAGACCAAATTCTAAGTGACAAGGATATCTTAACTATCATGCCTACAGGAGGAGGAAAATCCATTTGTTATTGGATTCCTGGTCTAGCAAGAATAGGGGTGACTGTGGTGATTACCCCATTGGTAGCACTGCTCAATGACCAAGTGGCTAAATTGAAGAAGTATGGAGTAAGTGTATGTTATGTTAACTCATCCATGTTAACAGAAGAGAGAGAGAATATATTTCATGAACTGACCAAAGAAATTCCACAGTTTAAGTTCTTTTATCTTACACCAGAAACTGCTCTTACACCATCAGTCAGAGCATGTTTTGAAGCAATGGTATTGAATAAAACCTTATGCCGGTTCATTGTGGATGAAGCCCATTGTATTGATACCTGGGGACAGGGTTTCAGACCATCATATGGCCAATTATGTGAGCTAAAGCAGTTTAATGTCCCAGTTGTTGCATTCACTGGAACAGCAACAACCCATACTAAAGAAAAAATAATTGAAAAATTGGGGTTGGCAGAACCAGCAGTCATTCAATCTACTTGCAATCGACCAAATTTGAATTATACTGTCCGTCCAAAAAGTGGCCCGCATTCAAAAGAAGAGTTGGTTACTTACATCCAGCAAAACTTTCCCAACATGTGTGGTATTGTGTACTGTTTCAGCACTAAAGATACTGTTGAATTGGCTTACATTTTTAAATCCAAAGGACTTTCAGCAGTTTACTACCATGGCCAACTTGATTACTTTGAGAAAACTGAGAATGCCAAAGATTGGTTGTCAGGCAAAGCATTAATAATGTGTGCCACAAGTACATTTGGTATGGGCATTGACAAAGCGAATGTACGCTTTGTTGTTCACCTAAGCATACCAAAGTCTCTAGAAGAGTACTATCAAGAAGCTGGAAGAGCAGGTCGCGATGGCAAGAAGTCACATTGCATCCTTATGTTTAGGTTTGAGGACAGGAACAAGTGCATTCAGCTAATTTCGTGTACGGAATCAGATGATCATAAGAACCACTTGCGACGTGCCTTAGATGTGGTTGTTTCCTATTGCATGTCAACAACATGCAGAAGGAAATTTATAATGGAATATTTTGATGACAACTCAGATGTACAATGTGAAAAAAGTTGCGACAATTGTTTGAGGCCACCGTTTGTGCCCAAAGACCTTACCACTGAAGCCATCAAACTATGTCTTTGTTTGGAAGAAATGTTAACAATCCATACTAATGTTAACGTGTGACAATTAGCTCTTACGTTCAAAGGCTCAAAATCAAAACAACATGTAGAGAGTAAAGGCTATCACAACATTGCTCATTATGGTGCAGGAAAAAATGCCTTCAAGAACGATTCAGATGTGATAAAATTTGTGCAACACCTAATAATTGAGGAGATACTGGCAGAGAATATTCAAGGCAGTGCTGGAAGATTTATAGCACCATTTATTACTATTGGTACAAAGGCAGAATCGCTCAAAAACAAAGAAATAAAATTTTTCCTTAGAATGTAATTGAAGTGTTCAAACTGGGAACAAAAGAAAAACATTAAAAACTTCTAAATCATGTCAACAAATATCAATCACATAACTATTCAAACATGGCTTACTTTGTTCACTTTTCCCTTGTATTTCTTTATTAATATCAATATTGTTCTATGACATTTAAGAAACTTTCAAGACCGATTTCCCATAAAATTAACCCATGTTGTTCAATCATGTGATCAATATTTATGTATATTTTGTCATATTATATATATATATATATATATAATATATATACGTTCACCGCAAGCTTTATGCAAAGCTCACTTGTATAAGTTTGAGCACTCTGGTGACTTCACTATACAATTCCAACAATGTGTAACCGTACGTCCTGTGTCCCAAGTGCAGGAGTCACCATTGCGCTCTGGTGATAGCCGGGAGGGCACATTGTTTTACACATGTTGTATATATATATATATATATATATATAAAACTTTCATGAAGTTTCGCCTTCAATTTCATTGTTACTTTCTCTTCACCCTTTGAAATTACCTGAATTAGTGATTTTCGCACCTTCTTGCTATCTTCGGCTGCGCTAGATAGGGCCAGCTCAAGCGCAATTCTACCATCCGTCACTTTAAAAAACTGGTTGCGAAGACAGAACCACATTCCTTTAATGACGTCTGGTAAGGAACTCTGGACTTTGTGCTTTGTTGTTTGATGGTAATTGAAAGGCTGTGAATATACCCTCCTAACAGAACCCAACAAATTCAGGTTACCCATAATCCGCTTACACATCTGAACAGACGTGTGACCTACATAAAAAAAACAATATCATCCACCTTACATGTAACATAATATTCCGTATATAGTAATGCATAAACGCTGCGTATTAAAGGAAACTTTAAGTCGGATGTTTAATTTTTGGTAATGACCTCTGGTACAACCAAAGTAGAATACTGCGTGGTGCCTCGGTAGTGAAAAGGTTAAGACAAATGTTATGTAAGAGGTAAAATCACATAACCATTTCCATATTTTTCCTAAGAGCTATGTAGAATTGCGAATACGTACCTGTTGAATAGGTTTTCAAAGGTCTTACGACATAAGTCTCCACGTACTCATCCATGTCGAGGTTGTGACTACGTTTTCCACTGATGTTGACAGAGCAATTTTGTTTCAACATACGTCTAAATGCCAGTGGCCATAGCGAAGTAAAGTTGACCACGTGGACGAATGCTTCAGTCCAATAATTACGAAAGTCTAGTTGAGCAAATATTGGCAGTAACAACACCCACGCCGTTTCTCGAAGAGATCCATCACCTTCCCTTCCTGCGGTTATGAAAAGATCCAACAAGGGAACAAAAAAAACAAAACAGCTCATGACGATACTTATGACCCTCGTCGCATTCCCCGGACTGTCTTAACCACACCTTAAACCGTTCTAGGAGAATCTTATTGTGGTTTCCATCTTTTCTTAACGCCGTCTTTAAATCGTCATCGGCTGGAAACTCGTTCGATGATTTAAATTCGTAAACAGCTGCCATTCCATACGCACAACTACCATCTCTTACTGCCTCTTGAATATGCTGAAGGTTTTGCTGTTGGAATTTTCTTTTTTTGAACGCTTCTTCAATTAACTTCGGCCGTTTCATAACATCATGGACGACTTTATGAAATCCACCTTTACCATGCGCCTTGAAAGTAGCTTCACAGAGATGACCTTTTGCATGCATATCACCTGGGATCTCCGTTGACCAACCATAAGCTGTCCCGTTTCTGTTTCTCACGCCCCGATTTACCTTGCATGTTCCAACATCACCGACAATACCAGTTGGGAAGCCTGCATATACTGATCTTGTATATGAAAAGGCGGATTCAGTTTGCAAACTATCATCATTCTCAGCTGGATCAAAAGTTGGTTGCTCTGGTGCAGAAGACGGATTACCACTTTGGAGAACAGATAGCAAAGGGTGTTCGGTCGTTACCACGAAATGTCTATTAAACAAGTCAACAATCTCTGCCAACTCCATTGAAGCTGCCATTTTCATTGGACTCGGAAATAAACCAAAGAGTGCCCCTCTGTACTCTGCAAAATTGTCCAATAAAAGTTTGCACATGTTCACGTCTGCATTCATTACAGCTAAAGACATAGGAGTTGCACCACATCCTTCTTTACAATTTGGGTTAACTCCAACAGCCAACAAAATCTTAACTAATACAAAGTTCCTTTCTTCAACCGCGAAATGAAAAATTGTTCTTTCGTATCTGTCTGTTGTAGAGTTTATTGCTGTCACTTCATTTGATAGCTGATGAACAAGATTGTCAATGGCAAAATCTTCGTTCGAGTGAGATGCATCTTTAGCTTGTTTTGAGATTTCAGTACAAAATGCATCAAACTTTTCATCCTTTTGCTGGTTAGGGGTCTTCGCTGGTTCACGAGTCTCTCCATCTTCATCACTATCAGATTCACTCTCCATAGTGGGATCACTACTTGATAATCCATCCAACCCTTTTTCCAGGGATGATATCTGCTTTTCAACTTCTGACATTTTATTTCGATGCATTTCAACTGACCTCATAAATTCATACTGCGTTCGCGCGGCCATAATGTCGAAATGCTTTGCAGTAAAGTTGAAAGGAATGTCGTAGGATTTAGGGCAAGGGATGGAAAATTCCTGACCAAACTCTTCATAAATTGCAGCTGCGCCATTCAAGTGGAATTGTCCTCCAACGATAAGGGAAGATTTATGACATCTGTCTTCTTCGTCTGACTATTTTTGCAAAGAGTTTGCTTCTTAGGAACTGAAACCCTAAATTTTTCGTCATGGCCGACGCTGAGATTATTAAAATCAATTTTGGACAGCCAAGAATTCAGTTCAGCGTCTCCCATTTCAACAAACGGCTTCGGGGGTGTTGGTGTGACATTTAACGTCTTTTCCAGGAGGTCCAAATAATAGATGTTGCACCAGTCATTCCACAGCTTTTTATGATCTCGCATAGATTCTTTTAAAAGAAAAGAAACAATTTTAAAAATTCAGAACAACCTAACCTGAAGCATGAATTAATGAACTTAAAAATAATCATGAATGTTTTGCTACAGCATAATGTATTTCCAGGTACACCTTAAATAAATTGCCCACAATGTTGCATGGTAGACAAAGTTGGTAATATTTATTTAGTTTGCACTGTTTAGCAGTACATCTCTGAAATTTGTCCTTGTGCAAACTTTGTTACAACACTGCAAAATTTGAGGTTTTCACTGTTAAACAACTTGTACACAGCCAGGAGGCAGGAAGCACATAATTTGCAGCAAGCCTTTGGTTCATATGGCTGTGCACAAGATTTAAATTGACCATATTTAGTTTCTTAATGTGTGTTACAATGTATGTAGTACAGTAAAATAATTGTTGTTGAAAAGAGAACATCCAGGTTAACGGTAAAGAATGGACATTGCATAATTGCATAGGTTTTCCTAGCCTTTGTGATTGGTTGACAAAAAATAACTGGAATTGATCACATTCATTACATTACCAGTAATATAATGTGTGGTAGGTTGCAATGCAAAGTTTTTTCTCACCTAAAAATAGATGATCAGCTTTAACAGCAGTTACATCTCTTTGAGGCATTGTTGCAGTTTCTTTGCATGACAACAAGTCTTGAATGCCTGATAAATCTGGAATCACTCCAGCTCGACCAGTGAAGTTCCACATCTTAGGACCAAAGGGTTTGAACAAGCGAAGATGACGTCGTCTACCTCTATATAGATTAATGTTGTCCATGAGTAGAATGACAGGTGTAGTAACAGGACACTTTTCAATCAAGGTTTGAGGGAATGTCTTCAATTTTTCATCAAGGAAATTATTTCTAGAAATGACATACATATAACAATTCACAAATTAATAAATGAAAACGAACAGTGCAAAACTTAATATACATTAGCATTTCCTCCTTGACTACCCAAACACAAAGGGATGCATTTTCCTACACTTGGACAATATAAATAAATAAATAAATTAATAAATTAATAAAATATACACCTATATATTTACATCTACAAGTATGTTGAAATAGGTAGTACAATACATACAATGTATCCCAATGTGGGGTTAATCCAATAGCATTGAGAAGATTTATGAACTGTTTACCAGCACCATAAGTTATAGAGACCCGACCAAGCAGCAGTCGCACATCATTCTTGCATTTTTGATTCCTCACACTCAATAGTAAAGTCAATGCATTAAATCCACATGTGATCTTGTACATTGGTGTTTTATGAACTCGTGTTCTTGCATCAGTGACTAATAGCGTTTCCAAAACACTATGCAAAAGTGGACATCTCTCATCAAAACTCTCTACCAAATCATTGAAAATGTCCCTATCCAGTACACTCTCAACATCTCCTGATGCTTTCAAGCCAAGGAAACACATATTCTCCCTCACCTTTAATTCCTCTGCAATTTGTTGTTTTTGAGAAAGGCTTATTTGACCATCTCCATCACAACTTTGGATCTTTCTGATCTGATGTTCATATAAAGAAACTAAAGTTGTTTGCAATACTTTGAAATGCTGTAAGTTCAAACTGTGTTTTGTTAAATGGGTTTTGGCTAGATCAACATTATCCTCGGTCAATGCTAAATTTATGTTTTCTTCATCTTGCAGTAAACGTTGTTCCATCTCGGTAATTGCGTTTCGTATTGACAAGATGTCTTTGTTATCATCTGCAAATAGTTCTTTAGATGCCATAGGACCTCTGCCATATGATTTAATTTTAAGATTAGTATAAACAACTCTGCAAATTATGTTAAGGAAACTATATAAAAATTACACATTGTAATTGCCAAATGTATACATGCATGATAACAAAGCAACAATTAAAATTCATAAAATGTTTACAATATATAGCATGGCATAACATGTTACCACTCAGCAGAGCTAACAAGTATATTGATAGGTAATTAAAAAAGACACACTGTATAACCATAAACACCAATTATAGAAGGATACATTGACTCATGGTCTATCATTTTTTT